CTGACTGCTGGTACCTGATCATAACTGTGCAGTGTTTCAAAGTCCTTCTTGTCGATGAGCTCCTTCACACTGCTGACGTCCAGGTCAGTGATTCTGTAGTTCAGGTCTCCGATCCATAAGACCGCACTTTGAAGGAAAACGTTGAGAAGACGCAGACAGAAAAATATAAATGAAAAAATGTAAAACAGTAACAGCGTGCGTGGCTTTTAGAGATGCAACAATCGGCCAGTGATCGGCCATGACATTAGCTTGGAAGTGCTTTACGGTGGGCCGAAAAATGTGTCTTTTTAAAAAGCATTCTTTATCTCAAGCATCAAACTCAAGGCCCGCAGGCCGAAAGGTGCCCGCCAAGTCATCTTGTGTGGCCCGCCGGATGATAAAAAGTATTTAAATGCCTTATATCACAGTCTATGCTGCTTTATAGAGCGTTCATTGACCATGAATTACAGTTATAACAATGCATTTCTACTAGGTGTGTTCAAGGTCAAGCAGCATCACTTCATCACCTTCAGCCACACTAGACTTATATAGTAAAATATATAAATATATAAAAAATGAAGAAAAAAAAATTACACATAGCAATGTACAATTTTCAAGTCAATATATAAATAATGAAAAGTGTTTTGAAATGACTTGGATTTCATTCAGTGACACAAATAAACTCAAAGTGCAGCCTTGGACCAGTAACTCCTAAAAGGAGAATTTTAAAATAGCTAATTAATAATTAAATACAGTATGAAGCCATTATGGAAGTTATAATTAGATGTGGCCCGGACATAGCACTGTTAGCATCTGGGTGGTTCTTACTCATGCTTCATGATCGTGACTGGAGGCTGCGTGGGATCCAGCTGTCGAAACTGCAGTCGGCTGCAGATATCTTTGTAGTCTTGGTTTCGTCTCTCGTACTCTTCGATGTGCGCGGCCAGGTGGGAGTTGACCACGCAGATGCTGGAGTTGTGAAACAGAAAGCGGATTGCCACAGCTCCCTTGTTACCCTGACAAAAAAAAAACAAAAACACGTTCAGTCACATAACGTCCGAGCTTGTGATCACAAAAAAAAAAAATGCTCTGATGCTCCGAGCAGGTGGGCCAGTTTTATGCTGTCATGTTTCAGTGGTTCCCTGCTGCAGACCATAATAAACACAAGCTGCTGTGTCATTACTGCAGACCATCTGCTGTTCACTGAATGACACACGCCAGACCAAAACAACCAACTCTGAAATGGTGGGTTAGAAATAAACTGTGGACTGAGATGAAATAAGTCGACGAAACCTGACGTGAACTGCTGAGTCGGTTCAGTTAAAAATAAACCTGATTTCGACCAGTTAGACTGAAGCTTCAGCGTGAGAATTTAAAACATTTACTCACCATCCTTCCCATGATCCCAGTGCCCACAGTCTCCGCCTCCACCACCGATATGAACTCTGCGTGTTCCTTCTTTACATAGAAGATCAGCATGATGCCGACCAGACGCACCAACTTCACCTGTGACAACAGAAAATGATGGAAATACATGGAAATATGGAAATACATGTATGCACACATACATACATACATAAAAACATATACCTATATACATTCTTTGATTATTCTTAACAACGTTAATCCAGGCAAGAAAATATATGGGTCGCAGACNNNATGAGCAGGTCAGCCAGGCTGCTGACCCTAATTAACTCTAATTAAGTCTTTGGAATCAGCACAGATCTACACAGTACAGACTGAAATCAAGTGAAACGTTGAACGTTGACACTGGAACAAAAACAAGAAAGAAAAGAAGAAAAAAAACTGTCAAATTCTTCAGGGTTCAGTGTTGTTGAAACAGTGTGTGTTCTGTTGTTAAAGTGTGGCGTGAGTGTCATTTAGCAGAGTCTGCAGCAGCGAGAAAAACTAAAGAGGAAATGACACATCATTACTGGAGCTGTGGAGCTCACAGACAACAGACAAGAAAAGAGTCAGGGAAGAAAAAGAAAAAGGAACAAAACCGACAACAGTCAGCATCAAAAACAGGAAGAAGATGAAAGTGAGAATGTAGAAAGTCCTCGGAACAACAAAATAAACACAGAGAGAATTATTTGTAGTAAAAAAATCCTTGGGCCTAAAATTGACTTGAAGCTACTTTCATAAAATGCAAAATATGGTTTTTGTTTTAAGTTTAGATCTAGAAAAAAAATGTTTTCTTACTAAGGCGTACTTGGCATCTGGATGTAAGGCCCGGCCCACGGCGTTGGTCCACTCCATCTCTTTAGGAGTGTCGTTGAAAAAGAACGCCTCTTTGCTGAGATCGAGCTCCTGGAAACTGGACACAAAGTCGAATGTTCAACACGTTTGTGTTTCAGTTCTTCTGTAACGACGTTTTAGAGAATTTATTTCTATTAAATCAGTGTTTCCCAAACTTTTTTTTTTAAGTCACAAACCTTCGCGACCCAAGTCAATAGACATTATTCTTAAACTCCTGGGAAACACGATGTGAAAAGACCCCCCCCAAAAAAAAACTCTTGCGACCCACCTGAGGGTCTCGACCCAGTCTTTGGGAATCAATAATTTTGACTATTTATTGCTTTGTCTTCAACGAAGTAGTACTACAACTGGTAGTACACAGATATACACACATAAGTTGACACCAGAGGGAGCCGAGGTACCACAATAGATACGGGAACCATTTTTGAGAACCACTGTACTAAACATTTCCATTTAAACAACTGACAGTAAAGTCACGTCAGAGACGTTTGTATCTGTACGTTCACTCTGAACTGACTCACTCAGCTGTGAATGTCAGTGTGAATATTAGTGTGAATGGTGGTTTAGGATTGGCTGCAGTGTTTGTCCGTGTGTGTGAGAGTGTGTGAGTGTAGAACAAACAGTACTCACCCAATGCAGTACATGTCGGGAGGGAGGACGGTGGAGTTCAGCCAAGGACTGAGGCTCTCCTTTGGCGCCTGTCCGTTCACATTGTATGTGCCAAGAAAAATACTGAGGCAGAAACAAAAAAAAAAGAGAGAGATACGGAGAGAAGTTAGTGTCAGTGGAGAGGATTCTGTCTTTACTGGGAGGTCGTGGTCCAATCAGAGAAGACCCTTAAGACACATACAGGACTGTGGAAAAAATTTTAATTATAAAAATGTTTTTAATAAAAATTGAGTGAAATGCACTTGAACAAAAATATTATTCAACTGTGTCAAAGGTCAGCTGTTTCCCACAGACTTTGTCCACATTCATGGCAGAATTAAAAACTTTAATTTATCAGTCTTGTCGTGTTGACATTCAAACAGTGACACTGAGAAAAAAAAAACACTCTCTGCAGTTTTTTTTTTAACCACCATCACGCTGCCAAAAAAAAGTTGCTGAAGTTGGTTACACACAGTTCCTGGCTTCCTGCTGCTGCTGCTGCTGCTGCCGAGACCTGTGTTCGAAAAGAGAGGTCAATATCTGTGGGCCCCACCGAGGGAGGAGGCGACCCAAAACGGGA